GGGGCTTAAGTGGAGAGCAAATGTTTTGAAAATGATGAGGGCAATGAATGTACAAATGTGCTTTACACAATTGGTGTATGTATGGATTGTGATAAGAGTCTATGAGCCCCTAATAAAATGATTTTTTTTAAAAGCAATTTAACCATGAAGTGTATGATATGTGAATACAATATCAAGAAAACCACTAAAAAAAATAATGCTGATATAATGTAAAAAATTGTAGCCAATGTCATTGAACAATACCAAGGTGGTACCCTACCCCCTCCCCAAAAAATGGAAAAGGGCTCCACTAGGCGGAGCTTTCATAGTACACATTTTTCCTTCTAGGAGAGCACTGAGCAACTCACTCTGAGTTAGTGCACCCAGTGGCATCACCTGGGAAGGTTCTCTCTGGTCACAGTAATTTTTTTTATAAAAGCAGTTTTGCTAAAACCTTGCTTTTTTGATGGCCAATTTAAGAGAACAGTTTGGCTGTGAAATTGTGTTTTCTGCTTGGGAAAAATGCCGCAGAAACTGTTGTGATGTTGAACACAGCTTTCAAGGACAGCACTATGGGAAACACTCAAGTGTACAAGTGGTTTTCTCATTTCAAAAAAGGTTAAATGTTGATTGATGAAAAACCTCACTCTGGGCATCCATCAACTTCCCAAACAGACAAAAATCTTGACTCATTGTGCATTTGAAGTTTGTTCCACCAAGTCAGACTGTTAATCAAGCTTTCTACTTAGGCCTGATTTGTGGCACACAGGGGACTGTTTTTGCCACCACGACAATGCATCTGCTCACACAGCCATCTCAGGGCACCAGTTTTTGGCAAAAAACAGCATGCCTCTCTTGCCCCACACACCTTACTCACCTGACCTGGCTCCATGTGACTTCTTTTTGTTTCCACAAATGAAGAGGGACACAAAGGACAATGATTTGGTTATGTAGAAAAGGTGAAGTATAAAACTAGGGAGGGGTTGTTAGCTATCCAAACAGATGAATTTGAAAAATGTTTCCAAGAATGGAATCACAGATTTGATAAATGTATTAAGTGTAATGGAAAGTACTTGGAAGGTGACAAGGTAGTTTTGTAAAAAAAATTAAATACATAGCTTTGAAAATAAAATTCCATTTTGGGGGGTGTACCCCTCAGATGTATAGAAATTGTTAATGGAAACCTAATTTGCTATGTAACATCTCACCTTTGGGGTACCAGCATCTCACTGAAGAGGTCCCAGGGGTGGTTCTGTAATTCAAGGGTAAATTAAAGAGACATCAGACAAGACATGCAAGGGCTTACCTCTCCCTTGGTGACCAGAACCAGAATGAGGGAGTATTGTATTCTCTCACAGACTTACAGAATCTCAGGCATGCTAGCCACAATAAGTGTGATAGGTAGGTTTATTGTGGTAACCTGGCCAATTAACACATGTGAGACTCATTGAAGGGCAGAGAGATAAATGGCTCGGCGAGATAAATGGTCTTTTGCTCTTTGTGTGTGGCTCTTAGCTGGTTCTCTGCTTCAACTTGCGAGCTACACTACCTTTGAGACACCCAACCCATGGACTGTGTCGCTGTTGTCTGAGGTTCCTTCAAGACCTGCTTTGCCACACTACAGGAGTATATATTGCTTGAGCTGGGGACAGTCAGACCCTGTCATCTAGCTGACTGTTGGTGACCTGCCTTGCTGTTTGCTCCCTGTGGCCAGATTGCTTGAATTGCTCTACAGAGGACTGAGCTGTCTGCTCCCTTGACTTGCACCCAGCGGCCCTAGTGACTTGAAGGACTGTCAATGTATTAGCTGTCTCACAGAAGTGAGTTGCACTGAGCCATTTGTACTGCTCTATAGACTAATTCGCTGTTTATTTCTTATGATATATTTATCCATATAAACATATATATAAAATCATACTTGTCCTGGTCTTGTTTCTCTAGAGAAGCCTGTCTAACACAGTAAGCATGTACATGACAGGAAAGGGTTGTATTAAAGGCATACACCTAACAGGTGGGGGATGAGCTAGGGGAAGTACTAGAGGCATACATGTGACAGAAAGGTACATACCATATATATTTCAATATAAGCCGATCCAAATATCCTCCAAGGCACCTAATTTTACCACAAAAACTGCATAATAAATGTGCTGAAATACTCGGCTTATATTCGAGAATATACGGTAGATAACAAGATAGGTGGGTTCTAGAGTTAAGATGGTGACCCAACCTTCATCCTATCTGAGCTGGCTTGACATTAAGTGGCCCTTAGCTCTTCTCCAGGGGAACAATCTATGATCCTTATCAGAAGGGAGTGGGCTGTACTTAGGTTAGGGTTAGATGGTCTGGCTGCTTTTGATGGCAGATAACCTTCAGGCAGATAACCTATAAGCAGTTAACCTTCAAGAATATAGTAATAACCATGTGCTTGCTTGAAAGTAGCACCTTAAAATTGGCATTATTGTAGGGGAACATCGTGGAATAACTTTTACTTAGGAGAATGTGACTTGGATGCATATCCAACCCACAAATGGGAAGGCCTCTGTTCATGGGCGCCTCCCGGACTCCTTCACATATGAGCACAGAGAACTTGTCTACTTATGTTGTCTGCCCCAATCCCACTTTCCCACACTTGCCGAAGCACAATAAAATATCTAAGTTTTTTTAAAGGATCAAAAAGTATGATTTGTAGTAATAATATTGGATTCAGAGAGGGGAGGGCAAAGAAAAGAAGATAAAGCAATGGGCTAGACCAGCAGTTCTCAACCTTTGAGGGTGGAACAACCCTTTCACAGGGGTCGCCAGATTCATAACAGTAGCAAAATTACACTTATGAAGTAGCAACGAAAATAGTTTTATGGTTGGAGGTCACCACAACATGATGAACTGTATTAAAGTGTCATGGAATTAGGAAGGTTGAGAACCACTGGGCTAGACTTGATTAATTTGGGTGAAATGGAAGATAGTATAATCTGCAACAAGGAGAAGACAAACCAAGGAGTGGGTGAAGGGTAAACTATTGGGGATGTTGATTAGTACTTTAAACTGTTGAATATAAAGTTAATGATATAAAATTTAAATCCCCTACCTAACAGGATTATAAAATGTTATAAATAATAATAATTTGGATTCAGGAAATAATGAAATAATATTAACTTCAAAAATAAATGTGAAATAGATATTTTTAGATGTAATAGAACACAAAATGTATTAGCTACAGACTTCCCTAAATGGATTACTAGGAGATATTCATATTAATCATATTTTAATAAAAAGAAAAATTAATGCAGGAGAAAATGGTGGGATGTAGGAAACATTGTGGAGGAAAACACTTATTGTTATATCTAAATAAATATTTGTTATTAGAAATTTAGGAACATAATAGGACTAAAATTCCAGATAAAGCCACTTTCTGGTTGACAGTAGGTAAGGAAATCAGAAGGTTCGCTGTTGATCTGTGACTGTTCTGTTTTTTGCAGTTGATGGGAATATTGAGCTGAAAAACATAATACCAATAATGAAAGATTTTTCAGGTAAGTTTCTATAGCATTAACATCCCAAACATTATAATAAAATTATATTATAATGTTATATTGTGTTATGTTGTGTTTGTTGTGTTGTGTTGCATTGCATTATGTTACGTTACGTTATGTTACATTATGTTATATCTAAATATTTTAGGTGCTATTTTTCCAATATCCTCTCATTGATAGTAATTTTCCTAGCTATTATAAAACATTTCTTCCTAACTGATGATGGTAGCAATTGTACAACACTGCTTGGTACAAAAGAACTATGGAATGGTGTGATGTCTGGATTAGCTCCTAATAAAATGGTTTGGAAAACAAAAAGCATTTCTTTCTGACAAAATCCATTAGACCTTGGAATAGCCATGCTTTAAAACTAAAACAAGACTTCATCTTAATAATAAATCCTATATGCTGTGAGTTTGAGGGGTGTTGTTTTGTTTTGTTTTGCTTGTTTATATCTTTTTGCTTATATGCAAATAGCTAGATTTCTGGTAAGTGCAATAACAAACAAGACAAAGTTTGAAAAGCTTAGGACACTATGGTCTTCATCCCCAGTTACACAAGTCAGTGTAATGTTCATTCTGAACATTATCCCCACCATTAAGAGAGCCTTCCTTGGTGTAATAGATGAGCAAGATTTACTTTGACTTCTCTACGAAAGCACTGTATTTCCCCATGTTTCACTTTGTTCTTTAACTCCAAACTATTGTAAGTACAAACAATATATCATCAAAGCTCTTATAGGTTAATAACATGTTCATATGAGTCTTTTGAAAAGATTGAGTTATTAATTTCTACATTTCTCACCTATAAATACTCTGCCTTTTTAAAGGAGAGAAAATTGATGTCAATAATCTGAAAAATGTTCTTGGAGACATGGGAATAGAAGTCAATAATAAGGAATCCTTACAACTGAAAAATTTACTGCCAGTTGACGGTGAGTTGCATATGTCTTATTGTGACTCCAGTGGGGTTCATCATATGGTTTTACTTTTGAAATTTGTATTTTAAAGCAGCACATTCCAAATCCTACCTGAATTCACCCTCCAGCCCAGTGGTTCTCCACTTCCTAATGCCACCACCCTTTCAGACAGTTCCTCATGTGGTGGTGACCCCCCAACCTAACACTATTTTCATTGCTACTTCATCACTGTCATTTTGCTACTGTTATGCATCCAGCGACCCCTGTGAAAAGGGTTCTTCGACCCCAAAAGGGGTCACTACCCACAGGTTGAGAACCACTGCTTATCTCTTATTTCCACACGAACTCTCTGTTACTCTGTAATCAGAAGTAGAATTCAACTCCCCAAAGAATCCACGTCTGCAAAATCACTGTTGAGGAATAGAGGTTACTGGCGAGTTTTGCAAGGGAAGAAAGAACGGGGATTTTCATCTTATATCTTTCAGCAAACTATCTTCAAGAGAAAAGCCTGTTCTCTCTTTTCCATTCATTGCTACTGAGGATCCCCTTACTGACCATACACTGCATATTGATAAACTCTGAAAATTCCTCCCTCTGCTGCCTTGATTTCTGAAAGGATCACAGCTTTCCCTCCCTTCCCTATTTTGAATATTGTTTCCTTCTTTTAATGAAATTTTATTGAGTTACATCTCAGACCATCCGCTCTGGATTCAACAGTTCAAACTGTTTGTCAGCATTCCCCACCCCTGTATTCCATCCCCGTCCTCCCGCAGAACTCCACTCTCTCTTCTCTCTCCTAGACCTCCCTGCTTCTGTCTGCCTTCGATATGTTCAGGCCCCTTGCTTCATCTTCTCATCCTGGCCTTCCCTTCCTTGTGAGCCTCCAAAGTCTGTTCCCTTTGGTATGGAAGGAAGTCTTTGTCTTTTATCCTTCTCAAAAGGATCAAAAGGGCATTCTTTGCCCTTTTGTGATCAGTCAACTTTACTCAGCATTGTGTTCTCCAGGTCCATCCATGATATGAGATGTTTCTTAGTTTCGTCATTGTTTTGTCACGATTCGTAGTGTTCCTTTGGGTGTATGTACAAAATTTTCTTCATTCATTTTTCTATTGATGGGCATTTGAGCTGTTTACTTTTTTAAACCCAATGACTCACCATCTCCCCAAAATGAGTTTACAAAACCATCTTCTCAACAATGGCTTATCTTTACCTACAAGAAACTCTCATACCAGCTGCTTAGAATTTTTAATTTTCCCATATTGTTAAACCAATTAGAAAATTAACAAAACTTTCGATCAGGAGCTTTGCCATTGAGGACCAAGAAAATTTTTACTGTTCCCATTAGGCCACAGATATTTCAGGCTTTAAGAGTAAAATAAACAAAAATGGAAAGAAGTAAAGTAATGTAAATGTTATAGAAATAAGGGATGAGAGGAGTTGAAAATAGAAAAGGAAAAGATGAGTATGTGAATTTCAACTTTGAAACATATAAACCAACAGTTGCCTGGGATGTCAAAAAATAAGTACATCTATTTAAAATATCCCAAATAATAAGCATGGTACTGTCCTCACTACACTCTATGATGACACACTATCCCCATTTTCAATGTAGGAAATTAAGATACAGAAAAGGATAAATAATTTGCTTAAGCCCTAAAGCTAGTAAGTACTTGATCAAGAATTTGAACCCAGAACTTTAGACATTGTACCAGACTACCTTTCTGTACCAAATGAGAACTTGTAGACTTTGGTTGTTTAACTTTACCATGGTTTAAAGATGAGTCATTCTCTGACCTGAACTGTGCTCTTTTTTCACAGGTAACAAAAAAGTTTTTAAGAATAGATTGCTAAAAGCTTTGAAGTCCTTCAAAGGTGCGTAATAAATGTGATAAGACTGAGATTCTTAATCTTTGCATCTGTATTCTTCCCTACTCTATGGTGATCTTACAGTCTTTTTTTTTTCCTTTAGGTGTATCTCCATTTTTTCAGAGGTCCTCCCATGTTTTATCTTGAAAATCTCTCCCATAGTCTCAGATATTTTTAAGATCTTAAAGAAAGCAAATATTAACTCTGCCCTAGTGAGGGATGTCATTCAGATAATTTTATCAGTAGACAAGAAACAGCTCTGGAAATTCAAACAACATAGTTGTAACTATTTATTAGTTTAAAATATTACATTAATTTTCTCCACTGTTACCATTTAATAAAAGATTGCTCAACTGTCCCACATAAACACTGAAGACGAATGTGTGCATAAGTAAGTGTGGTGAAGAAGGCTGATGGTGCCCGGCTATCGAGACCTATAGCCTCTGG